TTTACCCCCAAATAAGACCCTATTAGAAAGCAGCACAACGATTATGTCTCACTACATTTCAGGATGTTGACTCTCGTCGTAAATGGTCAGGATTCATCTTAGGTTTTCACATGGCACAGAAGATTAAAAAAAAGATTTCCCTTGGCTCAATTTTTCCCAGAATCCGATTAAATTAATCTGATGTGTATTTTTCATGTAATTGTTATTCACTAAAACTAACCAGGTAATGGTGAAGGACTTTTTATTGATGGTGTGCATTTTTACCTCAATCATGTACCCCACAAAGGCCCAAAGTACTTCTCTTAGCTCCTCTCTCTGCCCTCCTCCTTCCTCATTTTTAAGAAGGTAGGTTAAGAAAAGATGGGATGACTTATTCTCTTCTATCTCTTCTTAGGGCTTTACTTTGCAGGACTGCATCTTATTGAGGAGAGTGAACAAATTACCTCTGTGACCTTTTCAGCTGTTGGACTTGGATTTGATTAGTAGTGGTTAAAAGCAGTAATATAAGACTGAATACCAAAATTGTAAATGAAAAGTTTCTTAAAAGGTTTATCTTTTACTTATGGTTCTTTACTTTGTTGGATTTGTTTCTGAATATAAATGAATCATTCCTGCAGTGGAAATGCTGACTAATCTAAAGCCACCCTTCACTGCAATATATGCTTATCCAAATGCCTCCACATATTAATATGCAATGTCTGTAGTGTTAATTCAGCCCAGAATATACAGTTCTGTTGGCATTTGTGCAGGGAAGTTTCTGTTATACAACAAACACAATCGAGAGCAAGACAATCAAGAACAAAAGCAGTTATATTTCTCACTATTTTAGATTTAAAATTAGTAGGCCTACTCATAAATGTTTTCCTACAGAAGGTTCTCTCATACTATAATTTCTCTTCAATATGTTGAGTGGTCAGAGCATATGTTGAAACTTTGCTGACACCTACAGTTCACATTATGTAAGTTTATTAACTTGGACACATGGCATAGACTTGACAAGAATAGAACCTGTCAATACAAACTGAAATTTCTTCTTATAAAAACAGTAAAGTCAGCACCACAAGAGATTACACATTTTGTTTGATGGCTGTTTAATGCCCTAACTTTCTTTTAATGCCCGGTATAACAGTATAATTTAAATCTACAGACAAAAACTGGGCAAGAAAGCTCTTTCTGCGTATGAAAAAGAACTCCTTTCAAATGGTTTCAGACTCCTAAAGCTCTAGGATTGGTGTCTGTTCCTGCTATTGAGATAATTCATCTGGATCACATTTTTATTAAGTTTTTCATATCATTGTTTCTTTTAACCAAGTTCAAAAGGACATTTTATTAAATTGAAGGGAAAGATGTGCCACCCTCGTCCTTCAATTTTCACTGATGGCTGGATGGACTTGTACATTGGGCACACCAGGATTGGCTGAGCCGTAGGGTGTTTTGTGCTGAGGTAAGTGCAAGTCATCATCAAGGGCATGGACCAAAGGATACGCGCTCTCTTTTGGAGTTAGGCCAGATGGCATGTTACACAAGTGAGAAAAAAACAAGTATTGTGAAGGATATTTCGGGCATTTCAGGGACGTACGATGAACATACACAAAGGGTTTGCTACCAAAATATTCATGCAAATAATACCAACAATTTCTAATAATGAGAAGAAAAAAAATATGGAATAAAAACATTTAAAGCTGGATTTGATTTAAAAACATGTCAAGACACTTTATTTAAAAAAGTTTTTTAAAACATTGTTCTTACATGTGGTGCCTTAAACAGCTTTAGTAATGATTAAACTTTAACAGTGAATGATACTGGGGTGGTGTGGTGGTTAGCACCATCACCTCACAGCGAAAGGGTTCTGGGTTTGCACGTTCTCCCTGTGTCTGTGTGGGTTCTCCGGCAAAAACCTGATTGGACATTCCAAATTGCCCTTAGGTGTGAGTGTACGTGGTTATTCGTCCTTGTGTGTCTCTGTGTGGCCCTGCGATGGACTGGCGGACCGTCCAGGGTGTTCCCCGCCCCGGCCCACTGACCACTGGGATAGGCTCCAGTCCCCCCGCAACCCCATTAGGGAATAAGCAGTCATGAATATAGATGGATGGATGAATGGTACTGCAAAACCAATACATACTGTTTTAATGGGTTTTTAAAGTTTCATTTCAAGGCAATAATAACAGCAATAACAGACTTTTGCCACCTGATGGTGCTGCAACAAAGACAATGGGAGAGGGCGATAGATGCTGCTGCAGTGTTTGAAGCTTTCAATAGCAGTGATGTACTTGTAAATCATTGGAACATTCACTAGAGACACTTTATCTTTCCTGGGAGGTGCCGCATGACATGCTGGCGAAAATGCACTTTACATACTCAATGTGTTCAATGAACAATGGTTCCCTCCCTTTGTTCACAGCATAGCACCCTGGTTTGGTTAGGTCTGTGATTCATTACTTCCCTGATAAAGTGTTAAGGTGCTTTCGGGGTCTTTGGGTATAGTCCATGGAAAGTTCAAAGACTTAAGAAATCAGAAATGTTTATTTTCAGTTTTGCAAACACGGAACTTTGTGTAAAAAGTCAGTCAGTTTTAAGAGCTAAAAATAGCACCTATTAAATTTAAACAAAATGTAACTGTTTTGCAAACCATTCAGCCTGATTTAGGATGTCAGTGTCTGACATTTCAGAGTCAGAATAGAATCTGGGGTTACAATCTGCAGATATGGTGCACAACACTTTGGTTAGACCTAACAGCCGTTGCGGGATTTTTGTATCAGTGCCAATGTTAAAATCAGAAATACAACAACAGCATTTATTCTGAAGACAGTCTGTCACATCATTCTCTAATGCCAGGCAACAGTGTCAGCCGGAAAAGCATTAGTCACCCAGAAACATCGTGCATCCACTATTCTGCTGCTACAAGTTAAGCCCTACCCCTCCCGCTGTAGATACTCTGCATGCTGTGGCAATGATGGCAGCAATACTTCCAATTATTAAACCCTCCCCAGATTTTTCCTGACAGTTTCTCCATACGGGGAATGACATGTTGATCCATAGATCCTTTGCCTTTGCTGTTTCTGTAAATCCACTTAGCCCAAAATGGTGTCATTCATCCTTGTAAGGGTCATTTTCTGTTGACCATGTTGTTCATACAATCCGTTTCACAGATTTTCCAGAGGAGACTATTGCAAATTATACAATTTATTTTTTCTAATCTCTTAAACCACCTTTATTGCATCTAGGAAAAAGATATGCACATATGTCGTGCAAAATAGTTCACACTGCAATATGGAACCAGAATGCAAATATAGACACATCTGTTAAGATATAAAAAGAACAATTCCGTCTTAAAGGCGTCATCAGTTGACTGCAAATCATCCTTCCTTTGGCTTAAAGTGATTGAATCCATGTAGTGTTAATCTGCTAGCGCGTGGCATCTATGAATATAAAATGTGTGCATTGCTAGTCTTGTCACATGGTCTCGTTGTTGAGGATTGTGCTCCACTTCATGTTGCTACATGATTCTGCAGAAGGATGATGCTGCATGGGTGGACAAGATGATAGATGAGTCGGTGGATGCACCCTCCGGTTATGATCAGTGAAATCTATATGACCAACGCATGTTGTGACGACAATTAAAATAGATTTGCATAAAGTAAATCGACAACAAATGGACCGGTCCTTCACTTTCCACGCACTGATTGCTGATGGATGGAGTTTTTTTTTCAGGTTTAATCTGGTGATTGTGCCAGTTAATGTATGATATAAATGCAAAGCGATTAAACTGAAGGCCATATCCAGTACATTAATTACTAAAGCAATTCTACAAAACCAACTGTGAGTTCAGAAACATGTTTAGGCTGCCATTTTTGTATCTCTCTTGGCTAGATTTCAGGAATAGGCAACATGAATGAATTGGTATTAATGATATTGGGAATTGCTGTTAAAAGTTAGAACTTTGTCAGTCAAATGTCTAAACATAAAACATGCTCATCTTTACTGATCAGCTCAGGAACAACCTCAGTTGTGCTTGCACACCCTCCTGATGCAATGGAAAGTGATGCGATGAAAGGGAGGGGGTCGGCATGCAGTTTTAATGAAGAACTGTTTTCTCCTTTTCTTCCTCTGACACTAAAATAAAAGAGAAATGGGCTTATTAGTTAGTGTTTGTTAATGCGTGACATGTTGGGTCCATATTGAAACCAGTATTTTACAACCACCAGTAGACAAAGGCACGCGAAGACTCCTCCTCCAAGCCACCACAAACTGTGCCCAGAAATCTGTTCCTCCTTTGACACTCGTGTTCCTTCTCTCCCATCTATTTTCCAGGAGGGAGGTGTCATGGAAAAGCCATGTTCAGGGATGGGGAAGGCGTGAGTCAAAAAAAAAAAAAAACCTGACGGCAGTTTGTAGCTTTGGCACCTGCTCAACCGGCTCATGTGAGAGAAATCCCTTCCACAGAGAGAAAAAAAAAAGACGCCGAGCACGAGGAGACGTGGACGTTTGAAGGATAGAAAAAAAGAGGGAGCTCTGCAGCAGGATCCCCACTGATCTGAGCACGGCACTGCGTGACTGGTCTCTGCAAGCAGATGGAGGAGAGAGGAGAAGAGAAGGGAGGAAGGTAGGAGAGAGAGAGAGAGAGAGAGAGAGAGGGGGGAGGGGAGGCGGCTCGGTGCAGTGCTGCTGGCTGACTGGATGAGTAGCAGCAGGCAGCAGAATCAGCATCAGCACCACTAGCTGTAGCATCCTTCTTTTTGTGGAGGGCTGGAGGTTGTCTTGTGGCTGCTGTAGGGTCAACGCACGCACGCACACACAATAACGCACGCACACACACACACAAGCGAGCTGCACATGTCGTAGCCACCAGCGAGGAGACGGCGAGCGAAGCGAAGGAGCTCGGGGGACAGAGGGACGGAGGAGGAGGAGGAGGAGGAGGAGGAGGAGGAATCGGGGACGGCTGGTGGCCGTGACAGCCAGAGGGGGACCGGAGCGACGGCAGTAGCAACGAGACCGGCACCATGGCGCAAGCCGCCAAGCAGCTCCGCAAGACCAAGGACCTCGCCGAGGCCGCCGCCCAGGAGCAGAGGGAGAAGGAGGAGGAGAAGATAAAAAAGAGGAATCGATCCCGAGACCGCAGGCGCAAGGTACGGCCGGTCGTCTCTCGGGGGGGGGGGGGAGACGGTCATCCTCCCATCCGTTTTTTCCCACCTCCGCCCGCCTTTTTTCTGAGTCTCTTGTCTGTCTCTCTGCATGATTGGCGAGGTTGCAATTACAACAGTATAATTATACAGTTGGTCCTGTGGCCCGAGCTGGCGCGCGCGTGTGTGTGTGTGTGTGTGTGTGTGTGTGTGTGTGTGTGTGTGTGTGCCTGAGTGCGCGTGCGTGCGTGTCGGTGTGGAGGCTAGGCAGTGGAGCGTAAATGCTCCGGTGCAGCTTGTGTTTGCTCCGTCAGATATTTTAGGTATGAGTGAGGTAAAAGGAGGCTCAGGATCACTGTTAGTGCCATTGTGAGCAATAAAGACCAGAAGATGTCATTTGTTTCTCATACCTGACGGGGCATTCACTCAATGCAGCTTATTCGTTTTAAGAATATGTAAGTTAACAGTTCTGAGGATGGTTGTGGATTTCTTTTTTTTCAAGATAAGACCTTGATTACCATTACGAGCTTTTTGTTCTCTAACCTTGTCCGACTAAATGTTCTTCTAAGATTTGCCTTTCCCCATATTCCTTTTTTTCCCTCATTGGGGTAGATGTAAAATGGAGGGGGGAAGATGGAGGTACACTGTAATAACATAAGGAATTTGACTGCATTTGTGTATTTCGGCGGGCAGGTCTATGCTCCATGGGTTTGTTTGAATGAGAAAAGCCATCGTCTGTCAGAGGTGATTTAGCTAGAAATGAATATTTAAAATTGTTGAGCGAACCGACTGTCATCGGGTGAGCACGAGAGCCCTGGTTCACCCCCACATCTCAGGTCTCCGGTGTGCTCTTCCGCTTTGCTTTGCCATCAAGTACAGATTTTATTGGGGTTGTGTCGCCCCGTCTCATGGTTGGCGGCATTTACATGATTGAGAGAAACACGAGTTTTTTCTTACGTGGCGGATGTTGAATAGTTGGGGAAATACTTGCCACGTCGCACTTGTTTTCAGAGCAGTTTTTGTAAAATGACTGCTCCCAATAGCTGTTTTTTTTTTCTTCTTTGATGTGATGTCGGTAGCGGAGAAGAACACATACGTCATCGTGTATTCATGCATTGTCTCTGGGAGTTTGTGAAACAGTTTGCCTACACGATAGAACTATGTTAGCCATGAAGGTGGATGAATAGAGATGCTGAATGCTAAACTGGGATTTTCACCACTTTGTGAATGCATCTGAAAATGTGATCATCTTGTTTTAGCTCCTTTTTTGTCAAAATGATGCAAACGCATACAGTTGTTGTCAAAAGGACCACTACCTGTACAGATATATCCTATTATTCTTTTATTAAAGTGAGTGTACCCCTGATTGATATTGATATTTATCTTTGCTGTTAAACAGTTTTAAAAATGGGTCTGAATATCAAGTCATTTAGGCTCACTATTTACTGGATGTCACCCATAAGATGTCAACTAAAGTAGTTTTGTTTGGATATTTATAAGAATGTAGTTGATACGTGTAAGACCACTGAATATTGAGTGGATGAAGGATGATGATCCTTAAAGTAGTTTAGGAGGACAGGATGTTACTAATACTGTGCAAAATGTAGCTCTTTATATCATAGAATGATTTTCATACTTTTCCAACTCGGCTTTGATCGCAGTGAACTGATTGCAGCCTGCAGTTTGTATTGAACCTAAATTATTTTTTAGATCATTTGCTAAAGAGGGTTTGACAGCAGCTGCGCCAACATTACATCAGGACAGAGAGGATGAAGTTGAGGCTCTGCTATTCCAGTGACCTCTTAATTCTTAATCAACAGATAGGTGCCGCTATTTAGGCCATTGAAAAAAAGAAGAAATACATTATTTCTTTGGCTCTGATGAATAGGTGTATTAACTCGGTTGTTACGTTGAGCAAGCATGCTTTCTTTCCTGTGCAGGAACATCTGTAACAGAAGATGACGTTAATACAGGCCTGCAATTCTGACCTTTATGAGTTAGAACAATGACAGTTGGTTACAAAAAACAACAAAAAAACAGATACCCTAAACCTTAAAGAGCAAACAGAGAGACATGTTGAGAGAGGGATTTGAGTCCTCATATGCTCATTTTTGCTGTTAATCTAAAACAAAACAATAAGTCTTTCGAAAGTTGTGGAATTTAAACCAAGCAAACAGTACTGCACAGTTTCTTCCACATTTCCAACTCAAGGATAACAACACATTTGCCATAACGTTGAGCGCCTGGCACAAAGCTCCAGTGTTAATTATTTTAAATTGCATGGATGATAGGATGGTTTACTTGTTTAATATAGGAAAAACTGACCGTAAAAAAGATTGTATTTCCCATAGAGGATTCAACGTAATGGACCATTACCATTTTGGACATTTTCCCATGAACAGGACCACTGACAGCAGCAATGTCATGCTCTGTTTGAAAGCCAGTCAATAAACAACCTGCACTGGCATGTTCATAGGCTCTGCTTGTCTTTATTTATAATTGAACAGATAAAACTACATGTTACAAAAAAACAATCTCCCTACTTTCTCACCACCCAGTCAAAACTCTCTGGTGTGCATCTTATCTTCTAAATGCAAAATGGTCATAAACTGCGTCACCTGTCCGTTTTATGGTCGCCGACTTGCTTTTCCAGGCTTAAGGTATATTTCACACAGCACTGAGGAAGAGTTCATCTCGGGAAAAAAAATCATCTCTACCTCACTGCCTGTGACTGATTGCCCTCGTTCATCAACCACACGTCTTCAAGGTCCATCCTTCTTCTCTAGAACATCATTTCTGTGCTTCCTGGAGAAAGAAAGAGGCCAGTCTACGGGAAAGAAAGCGGGAAGAGAAGGAGCAAGCTGATCTTAGTGTTTCAGGATGTTCATTTGCACCACTCAGTATAGATCAAACTTGGCGGGATGGGATCTCTCTTTCCCTGCACTCCGACAAATTGCAAAGGTTATCCACTACAGCGCCATCAGAGATCAGGACTCTGACAGAGAGCGCAGTAATTTGGTCGGGGAATCTGCCGAGAAAAGGGCTTTTGCTAGTGAAGGTGCATACTGTAAGCTAACTGCTGTCATCTACTTTCCCTGTGTAATCTGCTTTTTAATCTCCCATTGTTTCTATATTGTAAAATCATACAATAAGACAGTAAAACATTCAGATTATGTTCCATGGCCTTTTTGACCCTTATATATCGAAAGCCTGAAGCCAAAAAGATGAGATCTGTTGTAATTATTAAAAAGAGTCCCTCAGTCCCTCTGATGAATACAGGTTCTGATGATGACTAATTCAGCCTTAGAGTAATAGTACATTGATTATCAGCACTCCCACAGATCATTTTAACCAGTCTGTTGTGTAAATGCATCTAAACAGTCTGTTTCGCAGTCAACCTCTCGGAAAACCCACTCACGCTCTCCATATGTGCAGCAGATTTGTCTTCCACAGCCACACACTGATGAGCATATCGAGTTGACACTTTAGTTTGACACATTCAGAGGCTCGGGATTGTATCTTCCTTCAGGTTTAAATAACACCCTCTTCATCCCACTTCAGCTGTGGCTGCCCAGTGTGAACAAAGTCTTATCTTTTGTGTAGTTTTAAATTTGTTGTTTTATGTGTAACTGAGAGCTTGAACGTGATAAAAAGAGTATGGTCACTAAATAAGAATCCAGCTCTGCATTACATGAAACATTTCTGGTCTTAATTGAAATGCTCCCCTCTCTTGTTTGGCACTGTGTGACACCATTGCTCGACCAGGCTTTGTTTAACAGCCCCATGGCACTATTAGTCAAAAATTCAACAGGGAAGCTGACGGCTGAAAGGACCTACCTTCAGTCACTGTGACTGGCAAAGCTGGCTGAGGTATAAATGTACACACTTTTGGCCTCATAAGAGAAAATGAACAAATCTGTATTCTGGCTTAGAACGTTTTTTTTTCTTTTCCTTTCACTCGAACGTATCCAGTTCAAATCTGTATTATTGATTATTTCAATTTCACTGCTCTGATAAATGGGAGTGAATGCTACAAAAAAAGTTGCATTTTTAAAGTACCATCAAATAGATCTTCTGATTGGTTCATGTTCCAGTTCCTGTAAGCAATGACTGAAACTAATCTGGGTCATGAGGGCTTTTATTGTAGTGCTCAGTATGAGCCTCCTCTAGCCAATGCACTCCCCGTTTCCTCCGGGATTGCACTTAATACAGTGATGGGTCCTAAGTTCTGGTAATGGACAGTGTGTGCGTTTTTTTTATGACTTTGTGTTTACTCATGTTTTTGCAGGAGTGAATGCATGTATGCATGTGTGTTCAGAAAGTTTGTGTGTCTCTCTGTGGCCCTCAGGGTATCTCATTCCACTCTTATGTAACCTTATGGATACCCGACACTAATTAGCCAAAGCCCTTTTCACTCTTCATTCCCTTTCTTTGCCTCTCTGCCACTAAAGTCTGAAAACACCACATAGCATCACAAGTTATTGTTCAGCGCTCGATGACTTTGGTAACTATAAACTTAACTTTGTGCACAAATAAATGATAGCCATAGTTTCTGAAAAAGTGAAATGTTACTCCTTGTTCGTCTATTTTTGTTTGGATCGCATCACGTTGCTGAGAATGAGACGTTTCTTTCTTTAAGCTGTGACAACAGCATGAACATTTAAGTGAAACTGTTAAGGTAATGCAGCCAAAACAAAACCTACAACAAGCCCAGAGTTATATCTTTGCAAAACACCTGCAATCAAAACATGTCCCCTCAAGCTTGCCTGTAATCTTATTTACAAAGCCAAATAAGTTGATAGACACCAATATAGCTAGTAGTGCCCTTTTATCCCCTGTGAGGAAAGGGAGCATAGAATGAAGGTCAAACAGAGTGAAGTAGCAAAGCCAGCCCAGAGCAACCACAGGCTATATTTACCTGGCTCCCTAGGAGTACGCTGTGTCTGAGAGCAGAGCTTCCCATCCATCTACACCACTGTTTTTTAGCTGCTGAGCATCTGCTCTGACTGGATCGTAAGTTGGAAGACCTTCTGAAATAACATGGGCAATTCAAAAGCAAGAACACGATGGCTGATTCTCATCAAACCGATACATTCTGTTTCTCATTACTGGCAATTTATCTATTGCACTTCTTTCTGTGGCATATTCATATTACTGAGCTGTGGAAATGTAAACTAAACTTGTGAATTCCTCAATCAGAATCAGAATCAGAATAAGGTTTATTGCCAAGTAGGTTTTTAGACTTACAAGCAATTTGCTTTGGTGTTTGGTGCACAACACAACACTTCTATGAGAAGCAAGAAATAAAATGTAGAAATAAGAGTTATATTACACATGCCACCTCGAGCCTGTGGGCCAAAGCATTCGTGGACATTGTTAGGAAGGCGAGCCAGTGTGCTGCACTGGCATGGAGAGGCAGGCGTAATGACTGAACATCTTTTGGCAGAGTTTATTGTGACCCTTTGGCCTCCTGACCGGTGGCATGAAGTGACGGATGTTGCTGCGGTGATTAGGATGTGTCACCCCACATGGCTGAATGTTGGGGAAATGGACAAGGACATGTGTTAGTTGATAAGACAGCTAACTTGCTACGCAGATCACCAGCTAGATAGAAAATGCTAGAGGGAGGTAGCTTGTTGCTTTCTTTGCACGCATTTGTGTGTGTGTGTATGTTGGGTTAGATATTGGGCCGTATAGTGTTTTATGAGATAAAATCCAATCAGAGTTAAAATATGGGTCACGCGAGGGTTGTGTTGAGAGTTTAATCCCAGGTACTCAAACCTTTCAATAAGAGAGACATCTAAAACACATAACAGTTGCAATGCACATCAATTTCTTTTTCCCTAATTGACCCACATGTGGATATATGTCTACACTAGTGAGGCATGTGACTCATTAAGGCTCATTAGCAAAATCATGTGAGTGCACTAGACAAAAAGAGAAAGTGATGCAGAATGGCGCACGCACACATAGATATGCTGACAAAGAGGACACACACACACACACTTGGATCAGGGCAGAAGCGGGGTATTATGTAATACAATTACTTCTCCTGAAGGTCTGCGAAGATCTTATGGCCTGCAGGAGCCCATTAATGCACTGGAGCAGCCTCTCTCAGGCACACCCTGACTCCATCACTCTCCAGCACTGGCCGAAAAACATTTTAGACTCTATCTGCTGGCTAGCTGATGTAATGCCTTATAGGAAATCAACAATTGTGCTGTGGGATTCTGAGATGTTGAAAATGTACTCGAGAAAGCCATCACATTACTATACTATAGCTCATCTATCTATCGGACCCAGAAACTTCAATTCGTTTGCTTTCTTCATGATTATTTATAATCTAATATGCAGGTGGTTCAATTTTTTAAGTGTGCGTCTCTATGTGTGGGTACATGGTGACTTTTCACCATGCTGTCTGATGGCATATAGAATGAATGACCAGTCCCCTCATAATGGATAACACATGAATACCCACACACACTCATAAAACAATACAAAACCAAGGTAATAAGGGTTAAAAAGGCCAATACTGTGTGATAAGTATTGGTTTTCTATGTGCCAAGTCACTTGAATGAACAAAATACAACATCAGCAGCTTTCAGAGATACCAATAACGCTAAGCTGCCAGCGTCTGTTTTCACTTCACACCATCTGAACTCACAGAGCTGCACTTATGCATGCTGGGCTGGTGACACAATAGCCCTGTGAGTGAGTTCGAAGCAGACCCCAGACTCAGCATTTCTTCTTTTTTTGTCTAAAAACGCTTTGTTCTTTGCAGCTCTCAAACTCTGACTTTGATTTGCACCTTCTCGGCTGGCTATTTTTTGTCTAAAGTAATCAATTAATTATCATTTAATTTGTCCAGCCGTCCATTTTTCTGCTTATCCTTATTGGTATCTTAAATAAGCATTTACAAACAGATAGTGATTCATTTTATCTTTCATGATAATAACTGAGAGGTTGCATTTGTTTTAATCAACTGACTGCGTTGGGCCAGCATATGTCTGTATATCACATGTTCCATAAGTGTTCCTGTCCAGTTCTTTGTGAATAAAGAGATCACATCAATAATGAAAGACTTGGTACAAGTCATATGCCAGAATCCAAGGTTTCAGAGCAGTAAACGGTTGCACTGAAAAAACGGCATTGTAATTTTCATGTGTAGATCATTTGCAGAACTAGAAGTCTTTGATAGTGAATAAGAAAAAGAAAAGTTTAAATGTGCTGCTAAAGTCGAACCATACTTTTTTATATGGTGTGACTGAAAAATAAGGATTTATTTTTTTATGGTAATCCATTACAGCAGGCTCAGGGCAACCCTCTGTGTGTGAGTAATCTGTTGAAACTCCGAGAGTTAGACCAATATCACTGGCTTCTTTTAGAGTGGCTTGGACTATTGTAGTATTATAGTAGTCCAGATAAATCAAAAATCCATTGTCCAATATGTATCCAGGCAAAGTGGTTTAACTGTTCTATAAAACAGCTTCACACACATTCTGCAGCCTTCCTTCCATAAGTCTCACAAATGTCTGTATGCTCAGGATTCAGAGGCAAATAGAAGTATTTCTCTTTGGAATCCTCAACATGTTGCTCTCAGCTCAACAGAATCCCATCACTGCCCCTCTGCATTACTCACCCTCTGTGGATGGAGTTTGAGATTGGCTCAGAAAAGTAAAAGTAATTATTAAGCCTTTTTTAACTTCTAAAAATCTTAGAAATAACATAGGACTACTGCTTTGCGTCTCAAACAGTCAAGCTATAGAACAAACTTCACGTGTGTGGAAATGTTAAATGTAGATGAAATTATGATAATAATTGAAGAATGTGTGTATCCAAGCATGACCAGATGAACGTGATACGCCTCCTTACCGGGAGCGTGTACGTAGAATCGTGAGCATGTGTTGCTCATGTAGCATATCGAGCCATGCTTACTGTTTACCCTAAAGTCGTAAAATGACATGGAGATTTGACAAAATCTCATTACCCACAGTAAAAAAAACCTGATGCTCGCTGGCTCTACCCTGGCCCATCTGTCCTTCCACCTCCCTGCCTCCATCTATACCTCTTTTTAAACTCCTAAGAGCTCATGGCTATAAAACAAAAGCAGCTGTAAGTCATGGAAATATCGCAATAGCAAGCGACTGGGCAAACATTCAGGTAGGGTTGTAAAAAAAATGCATCCATCCATCCATCCCTCCATCTATTAGTGTTTGCAGGCTGTGAGCATTCATTTGCGTTAACACTGCCATGTGCCAGAGCAGCGTGTGAGTCAACAAACATTATTTTAGCATTTAAATGTTTAGCCGCAGACGCACAGAAAACAGATGGAAGTGTGATGCTGCGTCCCACGTCACCGAGATTCAACCATTGGCTCGTATCGTGTTTTCCAAAAACGACTTCAAAACCAATGAAGGACGTGACTGATCAACGCCGCAAGCTGTGATTACGTTTCTGCCTCTCCCGTGAAAGATTTCCTTTCCCCCCCGTCTTAGCGTGTCTTTTTAAATTGATCTTTTTTTTTTTTTACCAAAGTCACAAAGGCCAGCGGTAGAGCCAGGGTCTGACATTTTTCTCATCAGAGCAGTCAATCACTGCTGCTGCTGCTCCATGATTCACTGGATGATTCATTCCCAGCAGAAACAATCAGTCAGATTTTGGCAGTTGGACGGTGTGCTGATGCAGACCACAGTTCAAAAGAGACTTTATCTGCCGGCTATATAACACTTTACTGAAACCGCATCGTCTGACTCGCTTTATTGACTTTTTTTAACATGTCCCACTAGAATTCTTACGCTCTTCTCTCTCCCTCTGAAGCACACATTTAGGTCTTCATTGTGTGTTGTTGTCTGGCTCAAATCTATGACTCACGCAAGGCACAAGTTAAAAATATTGGTGGATCGTGGCCTGATTGCAGCGGGGCAGCGAGTCTTACTCAGCTCTTTTGAGGTGGTCTGGCTGACTGACTGACGGGGGGGGGGGGCAGGGCGTGTCCTGCTGCCGCTGCACCAGGGGTCCCCCGGGGTCGGCAGGCAAGGTGAACCGAAAAACCTCACGGGCTCTTAAGTATGCATACGGCATGCCTGAAAAGCACCCGTTAATCTTCTGATTTAGCTTCGGCCTCCTCGCCTTCATTATAATTCAGGATCTGAGCTCCCTGAAGCGTGTGAGAAGTCTTGAACGATTGATTTCCCTGCAGTTTGCGTTGCCAACAGGAAGGAGACACAACATTTATGCAAACATATTTTTCTATTTTCATAAATCTTTCATAAATATCCACGTATTAACTATATATACTTTAAAAACACAGATGCTGAGAGGTTGTTCGACAAGTGAAAGTCCAATTTTTTAGGATGTTAAGGCTCTTTTTTTGTTGTTTTTTAGATGCAACAACACACTTTCTGATCAAATGTTTAATCCACAACCTGGACAAAAAGCATCAGCAGCTGCCGCAGGATGATTGATAGTGCTCCAAATGAAATGCCGCTTTCTGCAAATGCAGTGTGTCAGCTTGTCTAGCCCATATTTTTAGCCCTCCCTGGTGCATACGGTTTATTTTAGCCCGAGCTTTGGGAAGAGCTCAGAGTCTTCTCATTCTGAAGTGACATTGTCAATTTCTGCTGCTCGTTTTGCATCGCCGTTCACACTAGGTTTGGTTTGGAGCTTATGATAGCATCGAAGGGGTATTCCGTACCCTGAAAAGGTTCAGTGTGTTGGATTTTAGACAGAAGTTTGTTTTTATCTCAACAAATAAGATGGATGGTTCCAGGAATTCTAGTTTATTTGACAGTCTGCCTTCTTAGATCTTTAAAATCAGCATGATTGTCTTGTATAATATGTAATGTATTGGTTTTAATATTTCAGTGAGTTGGTGCAAAAGCATTTCACCTCTTCCCCCTCAGGCCTGATCCTGCTAGCTGGAGATTGATCAGCTGAATTTTTCCTGGTGGGATAAGATGTCCTGTACTGTATGAAGCTGTACAGATTGCTGAATCATTAGGAGCTGCTGCTATTGATTAGCTCTGGGAAATCCTTTAGTCTGTATCACATCATCAGTGGCAACAAGCATCAGACTTGAATGGTGTTGTTCTCCTATGCTGCTTGTAGGATAAAGCACTATTATGAGTAGTGGTTAGCTTTTTTTAAAATTAATTCAATGTTCACTGTGTTGAAAAACCCCGCCCTAAACAAGTTTGGTGTTTTATCCCTTGATGATGCCGCCTGATCGCTGCTATTTTTAGCAGCTGCAGGGTTCTTTGTAAGGATGGTGGTAGATATGACTTACCAGCTGAAGGTAGCCATAACCTCCCTTTATCCTGTCTTCTACCCTCCCTTGTTTTCGTCTTCAATGACTTTTCCTTCCTGTCCTCCGTCACCCCCCGGTGCCCCCATCACTCTTTCAGCGTGCTGCTGTGAGCTTCCACCCACTGGGTGATTAGTGATAACCTGCTGCTGCTGACACAGGCCAGCTCAGTGGGAACACTCCGCGGTGGAAGGGCTGGAACTTACGCTCAGATATGTGCCCGGAAACAAACATGCGTTCCAAATGTTGTTACTGATAAACTTTACTTAGTGTTTCATTGCATTCTTAGTCGTTTAAGCACAACGTGGCATCGTTGGGACACGAAAGGGACACATCCTGAGGACCAAACGCATCATGTATGCCCTTTTTCTTGTCTGAAATGCTTCTCGGCGTGTAGGTTTCCTCCATCTCTGCGTCAGGCGTGTTGAGGAAATTATGATTTCAATCTGAACACAACGTGGTGCATTTGGTCATTCATTGTTGGCCTGCAGTTGTAAACCACTCATGCAAGAACAGTTTAATTAAGTTGTGGGCAAGTTCCATTCGAGGCACTTAACAAACGTTAAACAAATGGAGACCCAGTGACGTAACCTGCTGTATGCAAAGCGCGCTGCAAACACTGAACCCACAGGCGTGTGCTGCACGCTGTACATCCCGCAGTGAGGAGCATATGTCATCTTCAGCGACTGCCGATTGGCCAACGGGGCTGAGGATGACGTAGCAAAAAACAGCAAAGGCTGACATTTGGGCTCTTAAAGTGGTCGTCAGGTCCACTTCTGTGCGCACAGGAAGCTCTGCATCTGGATTTTCGAGTCCACGTGCATCCATGTGCATTTGCCGTGTGCCCTTCACCGGGGGCTGTCAGCTTGCTTGTGTGAGTTAGTGTTTGTCAGCACCAGAGGCCTCAACAGTCTTAATTCATGACACGGGTAATTTGGTAGTCAGTCAGTCAATGCCACGATAGGGCCGGGCCTGCCTCCCCCTATACCGAGCACCCTGCACCTCTCCGCCCATCTATCTCTCCCACAGTGTCACATTCTCAGATACACCGACAGGACTTTACTGAGTCATACTGCAATGACCTTAGGGTGACTTATACCAATACGTTTTTAGTAAATTAATTGCTTTTGTAACTCAGTTTTTTTTTGTCATCTGAACACATTCTATTTTTCCCCAATTGCTGTTTTTTTTTTTTTTCTACATAGCAAATTTTGTATCATATCATGAAAGTGTTCTATTTGTGCATAATGACACAATGTTTATGGTTAAGAAGTACGGAAGCTTGTAGAGCTGGTGTGAAAACCTATGACCCCAGACCGACTGACACATAGCCTCATGAATAATAGATACAGAATAAAAGATTAATGGGGGAACCCGATGTGTTCAATGACGTTTTTTATTTAATGTGACAAAATACACATCTTGATATTTTTGCTAAACATTTACTATTGAATTGGTTAGAAAACAGTGATCCGAATTGATCCTTTTGAGATAAGCTTAACCCTCAGTTTTTTCCACCGTTAGAACCTTCATTTTTTTTACAGGAGATACAGAAAATAAAGTAGATGTTAACAGTTTACAAACGCGTTTTTTTATGGTTCAGTAAAGTGTCTCCGGACCAGATGGTGCTAGAGTAGTGACCTCAGAAATGGCTGGAGTTCACGTCAGAATGAGCAGATGACAGATCGATAGGGGAGGATGGAGTGATAAAGAGAACGGCTCTGAAACCTGCAGTGTTACAACAACATGTTTACTACGGGAACAGAAACCAATGGAGACGCTTCTGTTCACCATGAATGTGTTTTCTGATGTTTCTGTGCGAGTATACTTCTGATCCATGTTTCTGCTCCCGTGTGTTTATTTGTTAGTTTTTGGACCGAGTTGCAGTAATCAATTGGCTAATGAAGTAATTGATGGTGTGTACATGTGCTTTGAGATTTGCATTTAGAGCTTTTACCAGCTTGGAGCGGATTAACTCGGTTTAAACTAGCGTCGTACAGACTTTTAATCATTATGCAAATCCACCCTCAGGTCCTCTTATCAGATAATCTCTGACCTTGCCACAGTTTCTTTGAGAAAAAAGAAAAACCTTCATCCCAAGCAGTCCCTATAGGTGCTGCTCTGTATCTGACCGAGACCTCTGACTTCTTCCAGTCAGAGCAGAGCGAGTGAAGAAGAAAATTTCATCTGGGATTCATAGCCATGGGACGGCTGTCTCTCCTATCACACACAGATAGGTTGGCTCCACGTGTGACCTCTGCGACACCTCTGTCCAACTGGCTATTGTGCGCCCGCCCTCTATTTCTCAGCGTCCTGATCGCAGTGCGCTAACTGCTCATTTGTCTCCGCATTGGCCTTTCATTCACACCACGCCGACACCAGAAGAGTTGATCTGTGATGCTCTTCACCTTTATAACAATTGCATTTACAGGCCCAGAGGTATTTGGGGAAATTGTCAACCAATTTTGCTGTGTGGACCTTTTCCCTTGTTAACCGACTCTTTTCAGCTGTCCCTTACCCTATAGCTCATTCATTTACTAATAACTCCTGTAAGTTTACTATACCTTCTTTTACTATGCATCTATCCCTTTTTCTTTCCTGTCTCCTTCCTCCTTCATATCCATCACTCCTCCTTTTACTGGCTGCTCCGTTCTGTCATGGTGATAGTGTATGCTGACCTGGTGGGAGGTTGTGTGATCTTTGTGTAGTTGAGTGCTTTGCATTAGTTATGCACAGAGGACTTTCAGAGACTATGCCTGCCAGCTTTTCTGTGCCTCCTCTTTCTTCTCATGTCTTTATTGTTTGTTTATTGTTCTGTTTTTGCTTTTTCTTATTTTAGCTTTGGTGAGTTTCTGGAATTGCTCATTTCTTTACAATTAAAGATTATGTTTTTTTACTAGTTTCTATCTGGCCTAGTTTTGAAATTGAATCTGATGTATTGCAAGAACTCATAATTCCTCACCTCAGTTTATGACATTGATGTTTCACAGCTATATATTTGATAAAATGAACATTTGACATCTCTCTACGTAATAATTTATCCATTCAACACTGTTTATTTGTCCATAAACAGTCATGAGAGAGAATGAAGGAACAGATGGAGGCATGCAAGTGCCAATGTCCTTAGATGAAGACCCACCCCAGTCAATGTAACCCACACTGCTTTCATTTTACGATTATTTTCTTCCCATGTATTATAACTACAGAATCATGCATTTAATTCATCTATGTGCTCAGTTTTGCATGCAGGTAAATGCA